TTGCATGCTTTAATTGCTTTAGTTATCGGAGCGGGTCTTGGTGGGTTTCTTTCCGCGTAGAGTGGGTCTCTACGAAACCCTACAACCGCAAAACCCAACATGGAATATCTTGCTCTGATATTTCATCACTTTCACCGACGATTTTAGTAGATATGGCTATGTCTACCTAATGTCGAATAAATCTGCATCTTTTGAGAAATTCAAAGAATTTCAAAGAGAAGTTGAGAATAAACTTGGCAAGAAAATTAAAGCACTTTGATCGGATCAAGGTGGCGAATATTTGAGTCATGAATTTGACGATCACTTGAAAGAAAATGGTATTCTTTTAGAGCTGACAACCTCCCGGAACTCCTGAATGGAACGGAGTATCCGAACGGAGGAATTGAACCTTGTTAGACATGGTTCGATCAATGATGGGTCTTAGTGAACTTCCTATCTCTTTCTGGGGACATGCGCTACAAACCGCGGCACTAACACTGAACCGAGCTCCGTCAAAAGCTGTTGAAAAGACTCCATATGAATTATGGACTAAGAAACCTCCTAGGTTGTCTTTTATCAAGATTTGGGGATGCAAAGCATATGTCAAACGATTAATTTCGGAAAACTTCACCCCAAATCAGACAAGTGTTTCTTTGTGGGATACCCAAAAGAAACCAAAGTGTATTAATTCTACAATAAATCCGAGAACAAAGTGTTTGTTGCTCGTGATGGTGTCTTTTTGGAGAAGGAACACCTTTCCAAAATGACAAGTGGGAGGAAAATCGAACTCGACGAAGTTCGAGAGGACGAGCAACAATGTCAACCTGATAAAACTGACAATCTAAGTGCTTTGGAAGCAGCTGAGAAGATTGGTGAGAATCAAACAGACAATGTAAATGCTCAACCCATTACCCTTCGTAGGTCGCAACGGCCAAGATCTCAACCAGACAGATACCTTGGTACTGTCTTAACCGATGATCAGGACATCCTAGTTATGGATGGTGATGAGCCAGCGACATACAAACAAGCTATGACGAGCCTCGACTCTACTAAATGGCAAGAGGCCATGAAATCCAAGATGAACTCCATGTCTGAAAATCAAGGCTGGGACTTGGTGAATTTGCCCGAGGGTTACACACCCATCAGTTGCAAATGGATCTTCAAACTGAAGATAGACAAAGATGGAAATGTATCAATATACAAAGCTAGACTGGTGGCAAAAGGTTATAGACAAATCCACGGGATTGACTATGATGAAACTTTTTCACCGGTTGCAATGCTAAAGTCTGTCCGATTTATCCTAACGATTGCTGCATATTATGATTATGAAATATGGTAGATGGATGTCAAAACCGCCTTCCTAAATGGGATTTTGGAAGAAACTGTGTATATGACACAGCCAGAAGGTTTTGTTGATCCAAGCAACGCTGGAAAGGTATGCAAGCTTAAGAAGTCCATTTATGGACTGAAGCAAGCAAGCAGAAGTTGGAATCTGCGATTTGATGAAGCCATCATCAAGTTTGGTTTTATCAAGAATCCAGATGAATCTTGTGTCTAAAAGAAGGTCAGTGGGAGTGACATCGCATTCCTAGTCCTATATGTCGATGACATACTGCTCATTGGAAACAACACAAAATTACTAGAGTTCATAAAAGGCTGGTTAGGAAAGTGCTTTTCAATGAAGGACTTAGGAGAGGCACAGTACATATTGGGCATCAAGATCTATAGGGATTGATCTAAGAGGATGATTGGATTGAGCTAGAGGACCTACATTGATAAAGTACTGGCACGTTTCAACATGGAGAATGCCAAAAGAGGGCACCTACCCATGTCCCATGGCGTAACTCTCAGCAAGAAATAGTGTCCACAAACACCTGTTGAGCGAGAGAGAATGGATCAAATTCCATATGCTTCGCTAATTGGGTCGATCATGTATGCCATGATATGTACCAAGCCAGATGTATCGTATGCTTTAAGCACTACGAGCCGATACCAATCAAACTCAGGAGAGGCGCATTGGACTGCGGCCAAGAATATCCTGAAGTACCTGAAAAGGAACAAGGATAAATTCCTAGTCTATGGTGGCCACAAAGACCTGGTTGTTGAAGGTTACACCGACACTAGCTTCTAGACTAACAGAGACGACTTCAAGTCACAGTCAGGGTACATGTTTTGTCTAAATGGAGGAGCGTTTAGCTAGAAGAGTGCCAAGCAAAGCACCACTGCAGATTCTACAGCTGAAGCCGAATACTTGTTAGCTTCAGAAGCCGCTAAGGAGGCTGTTTGGATTCGCAAGTTCGTCAGTGAACTTGGTGCTGTACCCTTCATCAAGGGTCCGATAGATCTCTACTGTGACAACAATGGAGCTATCGCTCAGGCTAGAGAGCCAAGAGAGCACCAGAATGTCAAACATGTCCAGAGGCGATTTCACATGACATGGGAATGGAAATCCGAAGGTGAAATCAAAATTTGCAAGATCGGAACGGATGATAATGTGGCCGATCCTTTGACTAAACCTCTGCCTCAAGTGAAGCACAACAAGCACATTGAGGCAATGGGAATCAAGCACGTTGGAGATTGGCTTTGAAATTCCCTGTACATGAATTTTAATTAAACTAGGCGTTTTAATGTAAGACACTGTGTTGAAACCATTCATTTATGGAGTAATGATTTTTATATTTTATATTTACTCCATTGCTATTTAATTGTGGTTTAGAATTAAATAATGAGTCCATTCGATTTATGGAAATATTCAAAACAGGGTATCAAGACCATGTCTTGGATAAAGAAACACCTGTTAAGTGAACATTGAATATTTAAATCGAAAATTATCCCTAATCAAGGTCATCTAACTGATGGACGATTGATGACCACCAGAGATTAGTGTGTAGTATGATTTACAACACCGTTTCTTGTGCTGCAAGGACGTTATGGTCATAAATCATTTGCACAAGTGCTAGTTTAGAACTGTACTGGACAGACCTATGAGAGTAGTTTAAGAGATTCAAAATTTTTATAAGTACATTTCTCATTATAGCTATCAGAACCTGTTTCCTCAACCATGAGTATTGTGTAGTTTTCTTGTTTGAGTACTAGTTTCTTTGCTGTTGCCTAACGTTTGCCGTAACTGGGGATCATAACAGGAACACTCGGGAGATTAGGTCCACTTAGTAAGAGAAACTTACAATACAAGACTGGGAATGTCCCCTTATTAACAATAGGGAACATGTCTTTGTTGTTTACAAGGCCGCTAGAAGAGCGAGGCTATGAAAATGCATGGCCGTGCTCAGATGGATTTTAGAAATCATCTGCTTATTGACAGTTGAACTCGGAGATCGAGAAACACTTCTGAACGTAAAAAGGATGACGATGAATCTTACCTTATAGTTCACGAAGAGACATTAAGTGACATAGGAAATGGGCTATACAATGTATGCACACTTGTCCGGAAGGACAAGTGGGAGATTGAAAGGAATGGTGTCCTTCTAACAAGTGTATTATTCTGATAGAGGGTTCAGAATTATTACAGAGCTAATTCATCAGTAAGGTCAAGTGGTCGGAATGCCTAGGTTGAGGCCGCTTCCGATCAGTAATATTAAGGTATAATTAATATTACAGCTTAATCTTAACTGAACCCTTCGGGTCGAACCCAATCGAACAACCGATCCGAGACGACGAATCAATCCGAAGGATTCGATGAGTCGTCGGAGTTTTATGAACACAGACGTTGGATATCGAGCCTAGGGCGTCGAAACCGAGCATCGCAAAATCACAAGCAACAAGTTCGAGCGTAGCCGTAGCATCACTATGGCCTAACCATGTGGACGCTAGACTAGCTCGAGCTAGCATGCACAATGCGTGTGCTAGGCGCACCATGCATGCTAGGCGCACAAGGCAGCACCATCGCTAGCACTAGGTGCATGCGTGTGTGCGTGCCTCGCATGGTAGCACCATCGCAGCAGCGTGCTTGCTTGTGTGCGTTCCTTCGCATGGAACAGCACCACCGCAGCATGCGTGCTTGCGTGCCTAGGTGCTATTGCAAGCCCTCGCACAACCTACGCATAGCACAACACTATCGCATGGCTAGGCCTGTGCGTGCAGGCTATCGTAGTAGCCACGCACTGTGCTTGCTTGCTTGTGTGCGTGCCTTCTCATGGCAGCACCAAGCAGCGAGTAGCGAGAAGCATGCTAGCAGCCTCGCACATCAGCACCATGCCAGGCATCGCCCAGCGCCTAGCAGCCAGCAGCATGCGTGGCTTACTCGCAGCACGCATGTGCTAGCTGTGCTGGGTGGTGCGTGCTGGCCATGCTGGCTGTGACAGGCTGGCACTGCTAGCTAGGTAGCAAGGTGGGCTGCCAGCTCACTCCTTGCTTGAAGCCGGTTTGAGGAGAGTGGGGACCAAGGCTTAGAGCCATGCCTTGGGGAGCAAGGCAATGGTCCCCCCCATGGTTATGGTCCTCACCTAACCCATTCTCTCCTCTTGCCACTTGTTGCCTTGTGATTGCATTTGCTTTATAATTTATTTTGGAATTAAATAAATTAGTGCAATTGCACATGATCCCACATTGATCATGAAATGGTATTTAAGTCCCCATTCTCTATAAATACCCACTTGGTTGGGATTTTGACAAAACACACTTGACTGGAACTATATAGGCATCTCCATGTTGAGAATACCTAAAGTTCGTAAAACTCCAATCTTTTTAGGTCGGGCCCCAACTAACCTTTGGGGCTTGGGCCGATCGGGTTGGGTTAAAGGGTACGAGCCGTCGTAGACCTTGCGTTTGCGGGGTTCAAGTAAGAGCTCTTTTAGCGAGCAAAGCACGCGTCTATGGTATAATTCTTTATCCCTCTTTCTCTTAATTATGTTTTGCATGCTTTAATTGATTTAGTTATCGGAGCGGGTCTTGGTGGGTTTCTTTCCGTGTAAAGTGGGTCTCTACGAAACCCTACAACTGCAAAACCCAACATGGAATATCTTGCTCCGCAATCCTCTACTAGTGATAACTTGACCTCAAATCTAGGTCAAATGTAGCCTTTCTCCACAAATATAGCCTTTCTCCAACAAATCCTTAACTAGAGCTCCCCAAGGTGAGGAACTAGGTTGAATGTAGCCTTTCTCCAACAAATCATCCAACTGAGTCTTCAACTCTTTCATCTTAGCTAGAGCCATCTTATATGGAGCCTTCGAAATAGGTCCAATACCAGGCACTAGGTCGATAGTGAACTTAACGTCCCTCACTGGTGGCATACTAGGAATCTCATCTGGAAATACATCAGGAAACTCTTCTATAACCGGATACTTTACTTACTCTCTTCCTCACTTCCAACTTCTTGAACAGTACACATTAACAAAGGATAACCCTTCTTAACAAACTTCTGTAGTTGCATTGCAGAAATAATTCTCATCCTTGAACCCTTCCCTTCCTTTCTATAAGTCACTCTAGTTTTACTTGGGCTATTCAAAGTAACCTTTTCAGCTGCACAGTTAATCTTGGCTTCATACTTTCCCAACCAATCCATACCCAGAATCACATCGAGATCCTTCAAATTGAACTCGATCAAATCCGACGAAAACTCTACCCTAGAGTTGGATAAAGGCTGTAGATATCTACTTTTAGTCCCCTTTCCCGACCGGAAGTGATATGACGATAAATAATTCCATCTTTGTGCTAGATTTGGAGTAAGGAATTCTTATGGACTATTGATTAAAGGCTAAACACATAAAACCAACTACCTTGACCCAAACAAAATAAAACAAAGCTTGTTAATACTAAGCCCGATCAGAAATTAGGCCTAATCCCAAGATTAAACCTAATTTTGACGGATTTAGAAGGGCCTAGGTTAAAATCTAGGGCTGCCACAGGAAAAACCGCGCGCAACCTAAGGAGTCATGCTGGCTTGGTGCGCGCAACTCACAAAGTTGTGTGTGACACCCAGCGCAACCTCCGGAGATGCGCTTGCGAAAGATTAAGAATTTCATAAATATACTGAATCGAATATTACCATAAAGCCACGAGCAAGACCAGAGGTTGCGCTTCCTTGTGTAGTGCAACTAAATTACTTGCGCGCAGCAGCCGCACACAACTTGTTAAGTTGCGCGTGTTACCTACTGCGGCAGAATGTCCGTAACCCTAAACTCACCAATTCCCTATAAATAGAGTAGATCTGATCAAACGTCGTGCCGGTCTGGGTTCGGGCCGGGCTGCTAATTTTTTTCTGCCAAATTGTCGGGCCGAGCTAGGATTCGGGCCAGAATATTGCTGCCCAAACCCGTCCCAGTCGGGCCCACCGGGCCATTTCGGGCCTGCTTGTCTAAAGTCATTAATTTTAATTATTTTTTGTAATATAATGGTTTGTTATAAAATTAATTTAAGATGCATTATAAAAAGTTGTATTGAAGGGAAAAGACAATATACTTGTTTAGATTTGGATTAGAAGCGTAAGTGAAGGCGTACATCTTACTAAACTCACTATATCCTTTTTCCATATTTCCTAGCCTTGTTATATATAAAGTAACTGAATTTGACATCTCAACAATAGAACATTCATTGATTTTGTTAAGAAAAGTTAAGTGCCACAAACAAATTAAGACTTGACTGAAGCCATAAGCAAAGGAGCTTGAGATCTTGACGATAGTAAGCTATACACTCATTTTTCTATTGGTTTCTTTCTTTCCAAATGTAACACCAAAATTTCTACAGAACCATCTTCCAAACTTCAAGAAGCAAACCGTTCATCAACCTCCTTTTCCAGGCTACAAACTTATCCTCTGCCAAACAACATTGCACCTCATCACAACAACACTAATAATAGGTACCAAAGCGAAAGAAGCCTAAATTGAGTAATTGCCGGCAATCAAATTAACGATATTTTGAAATTAAACCCTAGAATATGAAATGATTATTCGATGTTTACAGAAAAAAGAAAATAAAGACATCTACCTCAGAAGTCGCTTAAATGGAGGAGAGAGAGCTCAGATGGCGCTTCAATGGAGAACTTAGAGTAGGCTTCAATGGAGGAGAGAGACAGACGCAGCGTTATGTGGAAGATTGAGAAGGAGAAATGAAAGAAATGAAAACTTAGAGAAGGAGAGTAAGGAAGAGGGAGTGACGGCTAGTGTGTAGGAAGGAAAGAAATGAAAGAGTTAGGCTGTTGGGTTTTATTTTCCATTTAAATGATTTTATCCATTAATCTGAATTCTAAAAATTGGACACCTCATTTTTTTGGGCCGGGCCGGGCCAGCCTGCGGGCCAGACCTGCTGTCCAAACCCGTCCACAATTTTTTCGGGCCTATTTTCCCTTGCCCAAACCCGTATTTCAAGCTCAAAAATTCTGCCCAAACCCGAGAAAATTCCGGGCCAGGCCGATGGGTCGGGCCATACTTGATCAGGTCTAAAATAGAGGTTCAATATGAGCTTTAAACACATAGTAATTATCCTTAAAAGTCAGCAGTAACTTTGTGAACTTATGCAATAATCATCCCTCTTTTCCTAAACACTCACCCTTTAATTGTTTTGTTCTTACCGTGGAGGTTCTCAAACAAGAAGGAGCCCATAAGTGTTCTAAACGAAGATCTAGCAAGGAAAAGTGGTAATTCCCGAGCACTTAGATAAATCACCTTTCTTTCCTTGCTTAAACAACTTTTAATTAATTAATTAGTGTTGTTTTATCACTTTAAATAACTTTTAATTAATTAATTTGAATTACCCTTGCGTTAATAGTACCCTTGCGTTAATTAAGACTAGAATTTGAATTATTAATTGATTGTTTTATCACCTAAAGCCAAGGCGAATATTGTTTATTTCTTGTTCTTTTCACGAATTTGAATAACAAAGAATAAGACATTCGTTGCAATGTAGACTTTATGTGATTAATGCTTGTAAATAAAATAAACTAACTTCATTTTAGGAATCACGTTGCATATATTGTTTAGTGATGAAATTGTGGAAAAGGAAGAGCTAGTAAAGATCGCACTAGGGCTAAGATAGTGATTCCCCCCTAAAGGGAACGTTATTTTAGTAGCCTCGCAACCAAACTCATTTCTGGTAAAAGTAGACCAATTTGGGCATGGGTAAACTTATGATTCATGCTAAATATCCCTTGAACTCTACTTGGGAGAAAGGCATGAACGAGGTTTATGTGTTTTCCTTAAACTCATTGGCGACTACTTATTAGTTTCTTATAAAAAAAATTGTAATGATACAATAAATTCTAATTCAAGGTCCCCCGAAAACTCAGGAATTCAAATCCTAACACACCGTAAAATGTGTAAAGTCCTAGGCTTTAAAGGGCCATAGGCATAGAGGAAGTGGGATCCCCAACGACAGGATACCCTCCTCACAGTGGCGACTCTGCTAGGGACTTAGAGGTTACAAGACTAACTTTTGGTTAAGGTTCAAGGTTTCCAACTTAGGTTACCTATGAGTGGTAATGAAGGCTAACTTGGATAATCTCTAGTTAGAGAGCGAGACTTGAATGCATAATATCTTCCTTTTTCACAAAAGTAAAAACCAAATAAGCAACATTCCATTCTGCATAATCATAACACACTTTAACCATTGGGGATTGGCTCATTGACTAGGGGTCGCTAACACTAGGCTTCTATCCTGAAATCAATAACAATTATCCCACCCATATCGCCAACAAAATGTTGGGTGAATCATGACATGAGTCAACACGTTGAGTGATTGATTCGTGCATCGTTCTTAAGATATGGTACCTTTGGACACCCAAGCCTTGACCATAGAATGGCATTGTATGGTTTGACGGTTCTTTTTATTTGCTTATGTGATTACATGAATATGTGCTTATATGCTTCGTGTCTAATCTAATTAATTCCAACTTCTTACTTAGAGATATTAAAACATTCGAAAAAAATGTGGTTCGACCAAAAAAAAAAAAAATAACAAAAAAAAAAATCATTTTGATTAAAAAAAAACCGTTTCAATTGAAAAAAAAAATCAAAATTTCGAACCAGCCAGGTGGCGCGCACAATTGTCAAAGTTGTTAATCGTTAAGTAGGTATTAATAATATCTCTTTGGCTAACAAGGTTGTCTAACTTAGTTTCTTGTACTTAGTTCGTCTTTTCTTTTAAAATAAAAATCGAAAAACATGTTTTTTTATCGTTCTTTTATTTTTGCGTTTTCGCCAAAAAAAAAAACGCATTTGGCAGGCGCTACTCTCGAAGGTGCACTCTCCACCTTAGTGCAAGATGGAAAATTTCGCGCGGTACTGTATTCGATTATGATGATTCGTTTACGCACTTTTTAATCGAGCTAATGACATTATTTTTTATAAGGTTCGTCATTAGTCGCATCCCTTAATAGGACGTCATCAATATTCCCAATTTTTAAAGTGCCTAATTTCGTGGTTGTCTTCTTTTAGTTGTAATTATTCAACCTTGATTTAAGAGTGTAATTTAATTACCTCTTCTATGGTTTAAAAAGAAAATTTTGAGAACCTTACTTGGGATGATTGCCTCACAAAAACAATGAGAAATAGAGTGAAAAAAAATCAAGAAATTGTTCTAAAAAAAAAAGTGTGATACAAAAAGAGAAACTAAAATAAAAAATATTATTCTAAAAAAAAAAGAGAGAGAATAATGAATGATAAATCTGAGAAAATGATTTAATTATTTCTTGGGTTTTACGTTCGGAGGCATCCATTCTATTTAAACTTATAGTAATTATCCTTTAAAGATGAGCAATATGAGAATCTAAAAAATAAAGATCTCTAATGTAATATAAATGATCAACAACTACCACATTCTAGTATATTGATCATTTTAAAGAGTGTAATAAGGTTGATTAATATTTCTAAAAACTTGATGAGCATTTTCAATCCAACTTTCCTTCTCTTTCTCTTCTACCTTTTTCGAAAATAGTTCACTTAAAGTAAAATCTTTAGATGATTACCTTGTTTAAATCAACACAAATCATGACATTCCATTAATGATTGTTCGTGAAATTTTTGACATTCTTCATCAACAAACTTGTTTAAAGTGAATTTGCATTAAAAGGATTAAAAAAAAATAAACAATCAAATTTGACTTTTGTTCGTTGTTTGAATACTTGGTAGAAAAGGTTTAAGTGAACACACTCAATTTCTCATGATACACATTACTAGGTCATATTCCACATTCACATCCTAGTCCAATCATGGGTGACAAAGTAGCATTGGGGAAACTTAGAGAGGAAATCCAAAACCTAAAGGCCCTACGAGAAGAAGAAGCCCAAATTAAGGCTCATAAAAAAGCAGAAAGGAAACAATAAAAGTAGAAAAAGAGAAAGAAAAAATTCTACATGAAAAAACAAGAGCCGAAAGAGTAGAGGCCTTGGAGAAACTTGTCCTTCGATCTAGCTTAGGGACTAAGTTATTCAATTATGAGCTTGCACCATCACCAAGTAGCAAAACTCTCCCATAAAAGTTCTTGACTACGGATTTACGAACCTTTAAGGTTATAGACAATCTTAGAACTCACTTAATGAGCTTTCTTGGAATTATGGCATTGAAAGGGGTT